CAAACTGTGCAAATCAAGTAGCAGCACTCAAACTCAGTAGGTAAACAACATCAAAATATTTCAAGACATTCTTTGGCCTACACCTACTCGCTTATAACATTTCAAGGTCCTGTATTTCACAAAATGGATTCTTGTGAGATTTAAGACATGTTAGAATGTTGTTACCTCATCATGGAGTTTCTTGTTTCACTCACACATGTTTGAGTATTATTAGTCTATCTACATATCCAAAGCTCAGAATGCTCTGTTCCACCTTGTGATGTCATGTAGTTGTAGTTAAAGGCAACAGCTACGTTTTTACCTTTTTGTTAGTAGAGATTAGAAATTCCAGGGCTGAAATCATCCAGATGATTATAGTGAAGGTGTAAGGAGTTTAAAAACATAGTGGAGCACTCCCCTATTACGAGATCACAAGGTGGAACAGTGAGTTTTTTTGTTTGAGAGAAGAGTTCAGCCTAAATATGCAGGATTTGTGTGTTAAACATGTGTGAATGAAACACAACACAACTCTAGGTATGTTTGTGAGGAGGAAACATTATAACATAGATCAGAAATATGGGCCCTTTAATTTAATACAAGGTTTTATGTCTTGTATCTTGACCACACTATGAAACGATGAGCAGATGGGCTGAAAAGTCCTTGTCAAATCAAGTGCTACTGAATGACACCCTCACATGGTTCAAGCCGATGTGTCAGTTTGTCAACAGGATTCTGAAGAGGGAAGACATGACCATGCAACACTTTCAATTCAAGTGGCAAGTTCTAAGACACACTCAAGCTGCCCAAATATGGTCAAAGGAAGTAAAGAGAGCGGAAATCTGTAGACTTTATGCCTGCTGTGCTAACTAACCCCTTTCTTCATTATTATGTTATATTGTGATGTGTGAGCTACTGTGTCCAAGTAATTTCCCTTTTGATCCAAAAGGGAAAGTACTTATTATTACTCATTAAAGTTTGTATAAATCTAAAGGCCTATTCATACTTCGTAAGAACATAAGATCTTTGTTCTTGTTCTTATCACCTCAAGAACAAGAACACAGTTTTTGTGTTCTTATGAGGTATAAATAGGCTTTATCCCTCATTAACATACACATTACGAGATCAGCTTCCTAAACAGTTTTCTAGAAAATTCTCATATTCAGGGGAACTTTTTAGCATTATTAAATAAAGTTTGTGTAATGGTAAATTGTTGTGGGGTAAAAAGGCATTCTTCATCTCCCATTTCTACAATTTCTGGGCCAGAACAACGTCCTCGTGGCTTTATAAGGCTATTTAAAAGCATTGTCTGTCTTCAAAAAGTGAAAAACACAAGCATCTTATATTAAACAGTTTGCTGAGGTTCAAAGAATTCCTCATTAATTTTATGCACTTTGAGTCCACAAGGACTGTTTAAGTGTTTTTCACAACTTCTTGGGGCCAGATTGGAGCTTTGCCATCATTGTAATGCTAACAACAACTAGCAAGCTAACAGTGCACCTACTGCAAGTAAATGTTACTTACAAACACAAGTTTGAGTAAAAACAAAACAAAGACTGAATGAACAGAGGGAAGATATAGAGACTGCCCTGGGATGACAGGTAGGAAAAACAGGGAGGGAGCAAAAGGAGGACCGGAACAGGAGCTGGACTCTGGCAATAATACTTCACTGTTGAAATTACTCATCTCATTCAAGTTGACTCTAGTCTAATTGACAAGTAATGTGCTTTTTGCGCCAGAAAGTAACTGTTACTTTACCACATTCGTTAAGATCCACAAATTTGTAGCTGTGAGTAAAGTAAACTGAATGCAAGTTAACCCAATAGTGTTAGATTTTACAGTGTAGCGTTAATGGATGCATTCACTGCTAATTTTTCAATTAACTTCTTCTGGAAGAGTCACTTCTTCTGGACCATGTTGGGAAACACCGTGCAACCCTGTGTATATTATAGTAATCCTCTCTACAGCAGTTTGTCCAGATTAACTCACAACAGGTAGTAATCCTCTTTCTTTCACTTAACTGCAAGTTTAACTCCACAATTGGATAGTGATTTTTCTTTCTTTCTTTTTTTGTGTGAAGACACGAGCGAAGAATTGATAATCATGAAATCGATGTTATTGCATAAGGCTTACATAACATAGGTCATGTGTTGCTTTCTAATTGCAAAGACAAAGGTGTAGGGTTATATTTCAGTGCTATCGTATAGAAACACAGGCTCCCTCACTCCAGGGGGCATATGCTGTTTGTTTGATGAGTGACAGAGAACAGAGGAACAGAAAGAAAGAAAAAAAAAAATTCTATCTGAAACTATGCAAAGAGCAGAGACAACAAGAGGTGTGTGGATAATGAGTTTTTAGGAGTGAAAGAAATTCAACAAAATATAATCCACTGAGGTTCTGGTGGCAAACTATTCAAATAGTTTAACTTTGATTGACTTGAGTTGTGTCCTTCTATACAAAAAATATAGTAAACAGTATGCATTTTCTAACTAAATTGAAATTGTCAACCAAAGAATTTAATATATTTGAATTATAAATGCTCTATGTACAACAGCTTTCAATCTTTTGGTAGCCCTGTGCAATTTAGCTTATATTACCCTATTTTCTGATTTATGTTATAATGATGTTTCGTCACCACAAATTTACCTGGAATTGTGCTTTGATTCATTCACACATGTTTAACACAGATTCTGCATATTTAACCTGTTTTCTTGCCTCAGATTGAAAACACTCTGTTCGGCCTTGTGATATCATGGTAATACAGAAAGTGCTCCACTGTGTTTTTAAACTCCATACATCTTCACTAGAATCATTTAGATGATTTCAGGCATGGAATTGCCAATCTCTTGTAAACAAAAGTTAAAAGTTGCTCTTAAAACTACCCCTAAATGACATCACAAGGTGGAACACAGCATTTTTTTCTTTTTAGCATTTTATACTGCCTCTTGGCCAGGTCGTCATTGTAAATGAGAAGGTGTTCTTAGATGACTACTTAAAAAAAAACTTTGAAGATGTAGACAGACTATTAATAAAGGATTCCTCAATCAATGTGAATGAAACAAAACACAACTCCAAGTATGTTTTTGAGGCAGAAACAAGATTATAACAATGCTTATAAAGAATCAACAAGCATTAACAAGAATCATTTCTGTTTAATAGGAGATACGTAAGTTCTGTTTCATATACCACAATCTGTTCCACATGCAATTACAATACAATTAATACTGTTGTAAATAAATTAAATTTGTTAAGTTAGGGCTGTGCAAGAATGTTCCCTGGTTCTCTCCTGGCCATTCCAATATATATGACCAGCCCAATATATATATATATATATATATATATATATATATATATATATATATATATATATATATATACACACACACACACACATATATAATATATATATATATATATATATATACATACACACACACATATATAAATATATATATATTTATATATATATACACACACACACACAAACACATATATAAATATATATATATATATATATATATACACACACACACACATATATAAATATATATATATATATATACACACACACATATATAAATATATATATATATATATATACATATACACACACACACATATATAAATATATATATATATATTATATATATATATACACACACACACACACACACACATATATAAATATATATATATATATATATATACACACACACACACACACATATATATATATATAATATATATATATATATATATGTACTAGTAGTATATTATCTGAATGATGTTCACATGTATTCCAGACTTCCTCTGTCAAATGCTCACTAAGTCCCCTGGTTCCTGTGTAGGCGGCAAGAAGGTAATTTTTTTTTTCATAGAATTGTGAAGGTGCAGCAGCGGTGACCTTTACCATGGGAACACATCAGACCGCTGCATCATGGCTTGTCCTTTTACATAGCCGTGTGAAATTATAATGACTCATATAAAGTGTCCTGTTCACTCAGCAATAGCCTTCAGGGACCTGCAAATATGGTGCTTATAAGTCTGTCACGGTATCACAAAATAATTAAAATTATTGAATGACCATTATATTTCAAATTAAATAATTACAAAGAAAAAGAGGCATAGGGTCAGCATGTATAATATTTTTAAACAGATTAAACATAAATATTGAAACTACTTAAAGCTACAATTTGCAGTTAGATTGGCTGACCCGCCCCTGTTGTATTCTCACATATCACCACTAGTAGCTATCTACATTACTGCAGTCTGATTACGTCTGACTGAAGAAGACCAGAGACCACAGATGAGTATGAACTAAGGCCAGGAGGTTTCATATCTGCAGCTACATCATTGTTTTAATGCCCACAATACATAATAAACTTAAAGCAGGATCATTCCAGTATTCAATTTTCTAAATGCACATATGAAGTAGAGCCCGACCGATATGGATTTTGCTGTGGCCGATATGAA